CTACAAAACTCAGAAACTTTGCCTCAAGTAATACTGCTCAGCCTCCCTACATCCATACTCTGCCCGTCAAGAGCTCTGACTTTCCAGTCTTCATTATACCACATACAGGACCTTATTAATATCTTTAGGGGTCTTGGAAGCTAAAAGCATTAAGCAAACACACAAGTAATTCAAAATACATTTTATATTACTGAACTGCAATTCATTTTGTAATGTAGTAAAGCATTTTTTACATCCCCCCCTTGGTGACTATTTTGATGTTTCTTTGTAATTTTTATAACATCAGTTGTCACTTCCGTTGTGATCTTTGACTACCTCACTGGCTTCCTAGGCTCATGTTCCTGTTGCCTTACAGGGAAGCCCATCCCTTAGTGTTCAGCACTCAAATTCATTGAGGCGCTCATTTCCCCACCTATACAATACTTTAGTAATGAAGGCTTTTGATCCATAATATTTATTAAAGAGGTATGGGAATAACTAAAGTGTGAATCTCTTTCTCTGTCTTTTATTAGTTGGCAGGCATTCTTTAAAAGTGTTTCTAGGTTATCAAAACTAGATAAATTTGTACAAATTAACCCACCTAAGGGACATTTAAGAATGAAAGGTCTCCTAAAAAAATTCATCATTCCAGTCATCTCAATGTTTCTAATATTGTGAACCAGACCACACTTGCCTTGTAGATATAATTTTCTACCCTATTTGACAGTTGAGTCATTGAAAAAGTTGTAAGAATGTGTCAGTGTGAATGGAACTGGAACAAGCCTGGTCTATGTATTTTAAGCCTATAATATTAGATTTTTTAAGACTTATCTAACTTTTTATTTATGTGTATGTGTGTGTGCCTGAGATTACTGTAGCACATGTGTCCAGGTACCAACAGAAGAAGGTATCAGATGCCCTGGAACTATAATTACAGGTGGCTATGTAACATCCAATGTGGGTGCTAGGAACTTAACTCAGTTCTCAGCAAGAGCGAAAGCACTCTTAACCATGAAGTCACCTCTCTAGCCCCTTCTAGACTTTTGAACCACTTTTAGCCAGACACCAAACATAGTAATACTTCGTGACCTCATAAATTCTCCCCTTTTCTGTCTCCTTTTTTTCTCTGATATGGCCATAAACTCTTAATTGGAAAGCTATATGTAAAAATAATAGACCTCTTCCAGGGTGGATTATTTTAGTCCCCAAACTTACAACTCTATGAGTTTAAGTATGAATTTAAGATTAATGTCAATAAATTCAAGTCTATGAATTTAAGATTAATCTCAACATTATGTGATTTCTGAAATTTAAGTGACAGGGTGTACTTCATGTGTGTGCTTATGGACACACACACACAGTATAAAGTAAACAATTTTGTGGCAGTGTGCTTATATGAGCATGCTCATGAATAGTAATAATAAATGTGGCATTTACAAATCTCTGTAATAAAATGGTTGATTCCCACAACAATTAAATTCCAATTTCAAAATCATTAAACTGATTTGCAGGGAATTTACTTAGGGCCATGAAGCTAAAAGCCTAGAACAAACCAGATATCTCGTTCCTGGTTCAGTGTATGCTCTGTTACAATTCAGTGCCTCTCACCCCAAATCTTAGATGACCTCCTCTATTTTTTACATAAGGAAGTGTTTTACTTCTTTCATTTGAAAAGAGTGCATATCAGGCTGGAGCGATGGTTCAGCATTTAGCAGTCATGGCTGTTCTTGCAGAGGACCTGGGTTCGATTCCCAGCACCCACATGGGGACTGACAACCATCCATAACTCCAGTTCCAGGGGATTCAACGCCCTCTTCTGACCTTCTCAGGCATTGCATGACACAGTGCACCTAACCTACATGCAGGTGTTACATTCATACACATAAAATAAAAATGATAAAATATTTTTAAAAAGAAAAGACTAAGTATCAAAAGTATAGGTATCAAATATATCAAAATATATAAGGCATAGGATGTTGGAGAATTCCATCTCAATCTCTCTGCCATGTACTCTGTGACTGTGGAAAGAGAGGCATGCTAGGTCACAACACAAGTGTTGTGTTGTCATTTTGTTTTCACTTTTAATTTGTAATAACAGCACTGCATAATAGCACCTCTGACTCGAATGACCTCAAAGGATCAATGTTCATTTTCCATGAACATAAAATCTCTGAAATGGGGAGAAAGTGGCAGGTTCTTTGAGAGTGAAGGGCACAAAAGTGATTGTTACTCAGAACAAAGCAGTAAGAAAGGCAGAGTCTGCTCACTACCACTACCTGGGAGCAAAGGTCAGAAGGAAAGTCATATTCCTAGGTCCAATATGCATTTGTGCTTATATGTGTGTTTCATGTGACACTTTCAACATTATTCCCATCAAACTAGTCTGTCCTATATTGAGGACTTGGGTTAGAATACATATGCACCTAAATTGTTCATTTAGAAAATACCGTTATATATAAGCAGGAAAAATAAAGCCCCCAATATTGCCCATCCTCTTCTATGTGTAAGAGTACTTGATTCCTAGAATTTTATTTATTTATTTTTTTATTTTAAGGTTACTAATTTGGTTGAGGAAAAGAAGGCAGACGGTCCTTAAGACAAGAGAATGGTTAGTTTTACTGTGGTGCCCCCTAGTGTCTAGTGAGAGCAGGCTAATTTCTGTATTTGCCAATATTCAGACTACATGGAAGAAGCAAAATTTGGGGAAACATCAGTGTTGATCATTGCTCCTGTATTGTCTCTGGCATAGAGCAGAATGAATCGTGTTCCCATCATGATGCATAGATCTTGGCCACCCACCCCTGCTTAGATTTTCAGCTTCATTTGCCATCACCCTTTACTATGAACACTCAATTTCAGCCATTCTGAAGGATTTGCTGTTCTGTCCACCCACCACTGTCCCTCCTGTCTGTGCAGGACGCTCTAATCTTTCTTCTAATACCAGGTGAAACATTATCTCTTCCCTCAGTCTTCCTGACTCCCTGGACTCACACCCAGAAATCTTGGCCACAGTCCTTTTCCCTTCTCTCCTCTTCCCATTGGCCCTTGAACATGTCTCCACATATCTGTCACCACTTGCCTCACTTTATATCTTAACTATTAGTTCAAAGAGTTTAAAAATAAAAACCCTTTCCAGTGTAGATTGTGACTCCAAAGCTTCAAACAGTACCCTATACAAGAAAGTACTCAGTGGAGTGAACTTGAGTTCACTAGTAATCCTAGTCAGGAGTACTAGCAAGGTGATCGTGAGCATCTTACCTGCCTTGTCTTGGCTTCTATTCTCTTATAAAAGACTATTGTTAATACTGCTCAAACATCCAGGGTCCTTCGGGCCTTTTCATTAATGCCCACCATCAGATCTTCAAAACACTTTATGATGAATTAATTCAACACTCTAGACATTTCTTTTTAATTCACAGAATGTTGCTCGTGGAGAGCAGGTATCATTTGCATTTAAGTTATTTTACGCCTATGTCTATCACAGAGAAATAATTTCTACAAAAATCTCAGATTACACATAGGCATTTAAACTGAGCTAATCCGAGACAAAATCTTTTAAGGCAAATTCTTCTTTCTCTTCTTTAATGATACATCAAAAAGGTGAAGTTATAGTCTGAAATATCATCAAGAAACTGAACTTTAACTCTGGCTCTCCTTGACATAAACCTGATCAGCTCACTTTCTTAGTACATCCACTTCTGTTTTTCCCTTCAGAAACAAGTGTCGTGAAGGTGGAATTTGCTGAAGAATGGTCACTATAAGTCCTTAACTATGGAAGAACCTTGATAAAGGCAATACAATATTGGAAGAGACAGATACCAACAGCCCTGGAACACACAAATACAATTTACAAAAATGTCTCACACACCACATACCAGCTCAGATGACAAAGTCTTTACCTAGTAAGCATGGGGACTTAAATTCAATCCCCAGAACCCATGTAAAAATGCCAGGTGTGGTGACATGTGCTTTGTGATCCCTTGCTCAGGAAGCAGAGGCAGGAGGACCCCTGGAGCTCACTGGCCAACCAATCTAGTCTAATTGATGAGCACCAGGACAGTGAGAGACATAGTTTCAAAGAGTGTGGAGAAGGGTGACATTCAAGTGTCCTCTGGCCTCCACATGTGCCTGCACACAAAAACATGCGCATGCACGTACACATACCCATACATACCATACACACACACACACACACACACACACACACACCACATAAAAATAATAAAAAGCTTCTCACCTCCTAAAACAGCTTTTCTTCTGCCACTACTCCCTAGCTAAAGTTCCAGGTAAGCCTGGAAGCCTGTCATTCAAAAGGAGGCCAAAAGTAATATCCAGTGTGCAATGATTTTGGCAACAGCAGCATACAGTTTTATAATTTGTATCACTGATATTAATCTAGAACATTTTGTCGTTCCTTATTCTAAGTGAGGTATTTTGTTAACTCTGAATAGGTTGTTTGAAAATAACCACAGAGAACATAGATTGATATTGAAAAGTAGGATATCAAAATAAGAAAATTTGATTTCTTCCAGATCCTTCACAAGGGCCAGGAAATCTATAAGTCTAGACACAAAAAATCTGCTAAGATACTAATATATTTCTAAAACCCTCAGGCCCATTATAAACAGCATGCTCCTAGACTACTCTGAGATGAGAGACCTCAGTGCAGGTCTGATCCAATTGTCTCCTGCTGTAGATGAGAAAACCAAGGCCCAAAGAGGAGCATGAACACTACAAAATATGGGTACAGGCTGTCCTTTTTTTGACATTTCAAAAACAAAAACTGCTTTTCATTATGTGAATAAATGTAACACAGTGACAAGAAAATAGAAGTTACTAAATAAACTTGACTGAATGGAAACTGCCAAATGGCATTTAGAAGCTGTGTCTGTATTTCTAGGGTTTCAAATTTAGGAAGTTGAGGCTAAAATATGAATCTAAGAAATAAGTGAGAGAGGAGGGGAAGGAAACATGTTTCTTTTCCAGATGCCTTTCTCTCACAACAGAAAAGACTGGCTTACCTTGGTATAAGATGAGTGTTTCAGTTCAGTTTCACCATTACACATCACTGCATCATTATGTCTGACAAGTAGGTTAGATTGCATCACCCCACCACCACTTGGCCGGTCCCCAACCACCACAGGGTCCATCCCCAACCATAATGCCAAACATGAGTGTTTTAAAAGGTTACCAGTTCCTTTCTCCTCTTCCCTCCTCTTCCTTTCCCTCCCCTCCTAACACACAGACACAGACACAGACACAGACACAGACACACACACACACACACACGCGCGCACACACACTTACAAAACCTCCCCCAACTCCCATTCTCCCTCTCCACCAAGTTCCAAGGCAAACTCATGCCAGCTATGTCTATGCTCTCCCTCCCTTAATAAATGAGATTGAATATAAGGACCCATTGTGCTGCCCAGGTCCTAGAACACTGTAACAAATGTTATTAGCTAAAACAGTGTAGCTAGAAACAAGAAAAAATAATAAATGTCAACTGAAGAATTTTGGATAGCTAAGCCCAGCAGTTTTTTGTATCCAGAGTAATCGGAAACCTGATTTTGGAGCAAACACTTCCAACATACCTCCCAAGCTTTTGCCTCCATTTCTGGACCAGGACCACAGAAAACAAATTCCATCCCAGAGAGCAGCTCACCAGGAGGACTGGAAACGCGGCAGCACCTTTTGTTACCGGTCCTGTCACAATTGCTGGGTTACTTGAAGAAAGGTCCCTTACCATCTCCTGGATACCAACAGTCCTAAGTGGCCCCAGAAACCAGCAGTTTACCCCTGTGATTCACCTTTTGCTCTCTCCTGGCCCTGCCCTGCGCCCCCGCGTAACTGGGGCCATGTGTTCTGTCTTCCCATAGAGTAAGGAAACACACAGCACTATGGTTGTTTGAAAAGCGCTCTCGGGCCTCCCAGACCTGTTCAATGCAGTCGGCTGTTCTATTTTTGGTTACTCTGTTTGCTTCCTTCTTGGAAGAGCCTAATTCTGGTCTGTGTCTTAGGCATCCTTCCATGGACACGTTACTCTGCCCCACACCCTCTCCCCAAAGAGACTACTTTCATTTTATCCAAATAATTCTGCACAGTATGTAAGTATGTGGGGTGGAGAGGAGAGGACCAGTGTGATAGCGAGCTGGCTGATCACGAACAGGCTCCGTGGTTCAGTAATCATGACCACATGCACTCCCACCCTCTGTGCACCAAAAAAAAAAACCATTTCCTGTAGAAAGAGACAAGCCCAGGCATTTGCTAGGACTGTTCATCATCCTTGTTTAATCTGAGGTAGCCATCGTAAGGAATACTTGGGCTTTCTCCTCTGTGCATGTATGTGTGTGTGTGTGTGTGTGTACATGTGTGTATGTGTACACGTGTGTGTGTGTACATGTGTGGTGTGCATGTATGTGGAGGTGCATGCGGAAGCCAGAGTTCAACATCAGATGTCCTCCTCAGCTGCTTGCTGCCTTTTTTTTTGAGGGAAGGTCTCTCAGTGAGCCTCGAGCTCCCTGGTGCAGCTAGACTGGTGGGTCAGTGAACCCCAGGGAACCGTCACATCCCCAACACTGGGGTTACAGCTGCTGCAACCTGCATTTACATGGGTGCTAGGGATCACACTCAGCTCCTCATGCTTTCACTGCAAGCACTAATCAAAGGAATCATTTTTCCCAGCCTCGGAAATATTTTTAAATGACTGCTACAAGTATGGAAAAAATAAATAGACATTCACAGGACATAACCTGTGCTGCTTGTAGCTCTTCTCCTCATTAATATCAGGGCCACTATGAAGACAAATTGATAAATATTCTTTATCCTTGTACACAATAAGAACTGTGGAGCAGTTTGCTGTCTTGTGCCAAAAAAGCAAAGCCAGCTAACCCAACCCTGAGCCTATACATCTACAGTGCCGCTCATCTCCCTGTCTCCTACTACTATATTTTTCCTCCTGTAATTTTTGTTGAAGTTTAAGCAGTATTTTACACTTGTTTCTTTTGTTATCAACTGCATACTCCCAGCTACTTTGCAGCCTTTGTGAAAGGGAGAAGTCATGAACCACAATACAGAAATTAGCTTGCTTTTCTTTATGTTCAACAAGTTTTTGTTGAAATATGTTCATGCTTTGCAAGATATCTTTCTAAAAAGTATCTCAGGGGTAAGGATAATTCCAAGATTCTCAGCATAGTGCTGTCCACACTGGGGTTTCAGCAGATGCTTAATTAATTGAAAAAAATTATAAAGATGTAGGGGAAGACGCCATCCTGAGCAAATTCCTTGACTCCCTCTACACAGGTGGTCTGCTCAATCTTTTGATGTCATTACATATTTGGCAGGCAGAATAACAAAGCAGAAATAAAAAGATAGAGCCAACCATGGGGGTACATGCCTGTAATCCCACCAGTTAGGAGGTAGAGGCAGGAAGAGCAGGATTTCAAGGCCAGCCTTAGCTACACAGTCCATCTGAGGCCATCCTGAGCTATCTGGGTCCCTGTTTTCAAAAACAAAAAGAAATAAAGTGATTTAATTGTTTCTCAATAGTGTATAATTAGGAGCAAAGTTTCTGATATTTGGTGACAAATCAAAACATGATGCCTTCCACAGTGAATTTTAAAGTTAACTCAGGCAAAGGTGTCCAAAGTAAGACGTAAAGCTCATTTCAATGATTATATTTATCACACAAGAGAAAAGACCATTTTTCACCTTTTATTTTTCTAGCAATTCTTTTGACCTGTGCTTCAGTTTCCTTCTGATATACTATAGATGTAGCTTGTTGGTGGCATGCTTGCCCAGCTAGGAAGCCTGGGTCTACTCACCAACACAAAATAAAACTAGGCATGGTTGGTACATGCCTGTAATCCCAATAGTGAGATGTGTAGGCAGGAGGAGCAGAAATTCAAGGTCATCTATGGCTACTTGAGTTCATGTCCATTCTGGACTACATAAGACGTATCTCAAAAAAAAATTAAAGCATGTCATGTCTTACCTCAGGCCAATTGACATAAATTCCACTTATGAGCCGTTTTAACTATTTTTAATTTGCTTGAAATACAAGCTTCCTATAAGATGTATCTCAAAAAAAATAAAGCATGTCATGTCTTACCTCAGGCCAATTGACATAAATTCCGCTTATGAGCCATTTTAACTATTTTTAATTTGCTTGAAATACAAGCTTCCTAAACTTACTTAACTTTCATGGACCTTTCCAAAGGCACAATTCAGGACAAAAGCTTTAAGATGAGAAGAATATCTCTAGTGCTCACACATGCACTGACTCCAGCATGTTGGCATTTGTAAATTACATTTGGCATCTCAGATTTTGTGGACTCAATTAGGTCTCCAAAAATGATATGTCCTAGTCCTAACCTCTGTGGTCTCTGAGTGTCACCTTATTTGGGAATAGGGTCTCTGTAGATATTATCAAAATGAGGTCATATTAGATTATCACAGGTCTTGATTCAAGGAACTGGTGCCCTTTGAAGTAGAAGGAACTTTGGATGTAGTTATACAGAAGAAAAGCATCCATCTGGGAGTAATGGGCTACAAAATAAGGAATGCCCAGGATTGCCAGAAACGTCCAGAAGCCAGAGAAGAAGCAAGACCTTCCCTAGAGCCTTCAGAGGCAAGTGACATACCTACCGATAGCCTGGTCTTAAACCCCTTAGCTCCAGAACTATGAGAGAATAAATTTTCATTGGTTTAAGCTACTCATAGGACAATGCTTTGTTGAAGATGCCCCAAGAAACTAATACACCATGGTCAGGGATCTTTGGCGAGCAAAATGTGGATGTCTTCATAATATCTTTTTTTCACTTCTAGTCAGGTTCATCATCAGTGTCTGTAGTGACATCACTAAATATGAGGCACAGGATTCTAAGTCCCTTGAAAGCCACTGGTGAAATAACTTTTTTGCAAAATATCTTCTTTATTTGTTTCCCTGTCAGCTCTCTTGGCATCTGCCCTAGTTTGTTCTTCATTGCTGTGACAAAATACTCTGACCACTACCAACTTGTGAAGGAAAGGGTTTATTTAGCTTACATATCCCTGGTCACAGTTCATCCAGGAGCCCAAGGTAGGAACTCAGGGCAGGAACCTGGAGGCAGGAGCTGGAGCACAGGCCATGGAGGAATGCTGTTTACTGGCTTGCTCCCCTGGCCCCTACTTAGCCTGCTTTCTTATGCAACACAGGCCCACTTGCCCAGGGGTGGCACCACCCACAGTGGGCTGGGCCCTCCCACATCACTCATCAAGAAGATGCCCCTCAGACATGGCCACAGGCCAGTC